AGAGTGTGTGTTCCTCCACTCTTGGAGAAGAGAGCGAGGTTGGGGACCCCCCTACTAGGGTCTTTGGATGTTTTTCCCAGAAGTCAGTAGGAGTGGCACCAGCCTCCACAGAAGCCTACTCATAATTCCAGTTCAGATTTAACATGAAGCTATCCGGTTGGGGGGTGTATGGCCCTTCTCTTTGATCAGTGTCTGTTTTGTATATTGTTCATGGAAGGAGGCCCACTGGCTCCTCATAATTCCGAATGTGATGTGGTCCAATCCTAGGTCCTTGGTTGAGCACAGGTTCCACATCCTCTCCATAATTCCAGGGGCAAGCGGAATACTCCTTGCTCGCTTGGTTGTGGAGTGAGGATGAATGTTCATAATTCCAGACTAGATGAGTTCTGTTCCTTTGGTTGAGTATGGTATACATGACCCTGTCATTCCAAGCCTGAGGTGTTGCCTTTTGAACTTCTTCAGATGGAGGAGAAAGTTTGTCCACTTCAGAGTTGCTTACTTTCTCATCGTGATTCTGGTGGAGTGAAATGCAACACTCTATAGCTACAGGTTGAGATCCAATCAAAAGTCTATATAACATTGCAGTCCAATAGCCCTAGCTACCAACTTGGGATATAGGTACCATGACCCTTTAATTCCAACCCCTCAGCTATCTGGTTGGGGCTGGCCTATACTGACGATTACTCGTATTCTATTCCACCTTTGATATAGGAACCGAGTCCCTGGTGAAGTGCAGACCTGTTCTGGATGTATTGCGGTACCCCACTCTTGTACCATCTTTATCCTGGTACACTTCTGTTCTATACAGACACTTTCTGTATGGTTCATGCCGGCACTGGCCTCTCCACCATCTCAAAGTGGGATTCTAGCTATAGTGTCAGTGGAGGTAAGTATGTTTTGGAAGTTAACATTTTCCTAAATTGAAAATGTATTTTCAATAATACTTACCTCAGCTGACACTCTCCTGCCCTACCTCCCCCACTAAAAGCTGGTTATGTCTCGAAAAAGTGATTACATTATCTGAATGATGTGCTTATATATATTACCTAGATAGAGGGCGCATTTAAGTTGGTAGAGAAATTTTTAAATTAGAATGTGCCAAGAGCATTCGAGTGGGGTATAAAAGACTGGAGCAAGCATTTTCAAAGCTTAGTTAGGCAAAGAGTGGAAACCCTGGAGACTGAGAAATAGCTATAGTTATAGCGTCAGTGGAGGTAAGTATTACTGGAAATACATTTTCAGTTTAGGAAAATGCTAACTTAAGTTAACCTGGAATCCCCTAGAGCAATCTCAAGGCCAGGAACAACCCTGATAATGGGGACAGCCACACTTTTGGCCCAGAGTCATCATTTTTTATATGGTTTTTGCAGCATAATCCATTCAAACTCATGGGGATAGACTTTGTTTTGATTGGTCCAGCAATTAGAGTGGACTCATCTTCCTTTAGTGATTGGTGCCCAGTGACCAAGGACTTGAAATTAAATAATGTAAAAGGTTACAGGAAAGGTTACCCGTGTAAACAGTTTCTCATCCTGTATAGTCTATCTTGAATATACATCTTTCCAACTAAGTGGAACCAGATTACATTTCACATCCGTGAACACAATTGCATAAACTTATATATCCGTCTGGTTAGAATCAGTTTATATGAGAATCCTTTCCTTTATCAATGATATGCAGACAATTTTAGTTGTTTTAGACAGGTGTGTCCAATGTTCATCATTCATTAGCATTTCACTACTAATATTTTGCAACATGTCCCAAGTCCTTAGTTTAACTTGGTCGAAGCATATGTTTATTGTCAAGTGGCAGTTCAGCTTGTGAGAAAGAAAACTGAAACGTTTGTTCTATATTTCCCAACACTGACATAAGCTCAAAGACTGTAGTTAGCCCATGAGAAAGTATAGTTGAACTATTTGGTTATTTTTAGGGTGTTTCAATTCCTAAGTTCTAAGGCTTTTGATGGATTTTGTTGGTAATCATTCATTAGTCCTATTTCTTCCATTCTGCTACTTTAGCTTTTGCAGTACAGAATTTTAGTAGGTAATGCACCAATGTTTCTTTTTCAATGACAACGAAGGTTAATAATAATGTTTTCATAGCAGCTATCTGGTTTTGTTCTGAACATGGAAGTTTAGTTTGTAGTAGTCATGAAATGCTATATTATATACAGTAAACTTAATTAGACATAATTCATGTTGTCAATCTAGTATAATAGTATAATATTTTAAAATTTAGCCTTGTCACTGAATATTGACTCTAATTTGATTAGTTATAACACTTGTTTGATTTTTTTAAATGTACTTTGTAACTAATGTGTAACCAATTCAAAAGTCTTGATGAAGCTTCTATGATCTTAAAGTAGAAAAAAAATCAAGACTAAATATTAGAAAATTGCTTATAAAGTACTGTAAGACAGGTATTTAGATACTGTGGAAAATTATCCTTAAACTGAAAAGACAATACATAGGAATTTTGATATTGTGGTTTATCATCTGTTAACCGTAAAGACAAGCTAGATATTTCTGTTTTGATGAAGAAATTAGAGTTCGAAGGACTGATCTGCACTTGTAAGGTTAGATTATTTATGTGGTTTACTTATGTTCAAATATCATGCACTTGTATATGATATTTGTGTAACTAACTATATTTGTTTATATATTTTACTTTGTTTGATCATATATATATATCTTGAATTAACTTAATCACAAACTTTAATTTATTGTCTTCAGTCAGCCATATTGGCAAAATTTGGTAGAGTTTGTCATTTTATTGTCAGTAAAATTTAAATGTTGGACTCTCATGTGCCTAAATGATATAGTATCTTTCAAAAGCTGATGATTGTCTGGTCCATTTAATTTTCTCAAAGATTATTTGAAAATTCAAAGAGTAATTGTGTCAATAAATCAAGGAATGAAAACTTGTTGCTGCATTATATATTGCAAAATATTTGTTGAAAATCCTAGTAATTTAAACTCTCCTTTGTAATATATTGCATTTAAACTGTTGTAAATAATTAATAAAATCAGTTCTCATGAGAGTATTCTTGCTTTAACCTCCCTGTGTTGGTTTTCTTAGCCACCAACTTCTGTTATGTTCTTCCTGACAGATTAAATATATTTTATAGTTATAAGAATGGAGTGGTGTATAAATAAATCTTCTAAACCTTTGGGGTATAAGTAGATATATACATGTGTGTGTGTATGGAGGTTTAAAAGACTAAAGCAAGTAAGAGCATTATGCATTCATCTTCAGTTGTGTTTAGTCAACAATAATTGTTGCTTTCATTCAAAAATTAATCCTCTTGATGAACAAGCCAACCTTTAGCATTAAATGCATATCCTTATTCTTTTGGATAACAAAAGAGGGGGAAATGTGTAGACTGGGAGTTGCATATAAAGAGGTGATTACTCATGGCAAGTTTTATGAAGTCTTAGAAATATATATTTTAAAATTCTTGTGTATGTGTGTAGATGATATTTAACATTCCTCTGTTATTATTTTTGACTCTCTAATTTTTGTTGTCTAGTATAAAACAACACAATGTATAGGAACCTTGGTGGTTTTCACTTTTAATTTTAAAACTATTTAAATTGCACTGTCTTTAACTCAGATTTTGTTATTGCTCTTTACTGTGTTTCTACTCTATTTCTCATTGAGCGTTACATGCGAGGGTCTAATAAATTCAGAGCATTTATAGTCTAAGAATATGTAACCAGAATGCTGAAGTATATTAAGGACTGTTATTGGATTATGAAAAAAGACAGACTGAGGAAACAAAATAACATCCAGACTTTGAACTTTTTTGTCAGTCATCATAAAAGTATGAAAAAAATAAAAACTTGCACAAATAAAATAATCCCATAATTACAGTGATAATGAAAAGTTTTTAACAGTCGTTTTTTAAAATTGATATTTAAATGTGTTGTGCTTTTGATATATAATAAATTACCTTTCTTCTGTCAATTTGAATTTAAAAAATTGTGTTTTCTAACTTTTAAGATAAGCTCATAATCTAACATAACATTTTTTTCAGAAAGCTGGATTTTATTAGTTATCTGTTTAACAGCATTACTCTGACTAGAGAGGCTTCAGATAATGAGGAATGTAATGTGTAAGTTTTACCCATAAGGAAGATTGCCCTAACTACTACTATTGTGTATGTGTGTATATATATATATTATTTTTGGGTTAGAATGCTGTTTTAATGTGTTCAGGAGGGAGCACATAATGCATTTTTTCTTGTAATACAACATAATTTAGTTGGATTTTGCTTATCCAAAATGGTACATGTACAGTAAGACAACTTGTAATGTTTAGAAATTTATATCTTGGTACCAAATACCGAAATATTAAGGTCTGAAGTAAAACCTGAATGAAAAGCAAGTTGAAAATTGGGCATACAAACTTAAGTAGTGTCATATACTCTACTAAAGAATTATATGAATTGAAATTTGTGAAAACTATTTTTCTACTGAATGCAAGTTGTTTTTTCATATAAACCTCTTAACTAAAAGGCATTAGTGAGTTAATAACTGGTATTATTGTTTCTAATTTTGTTATTTTCTAATTTTGTTTCTAATATTGTTACAAGACCCAGGCTTGTAAATTTTCATGAATGGTAGGAATTGTTTACCATTAGGACTGAAAGAAAGACCCAAGAAATAAAAAAATGATATCTGAATTATAAGATGCACTGAACAAGCTAGACATAGTTTGAACTTGAGATAGCACCAGAAGAAAATGTATTAACTCTGTATTAGAAATGACCGTTGAGCATAATTAACCCATGTTACCAAATTTTAGCAAAGCACTAAGTTTTTGGACAAGGATGTGTAATGTATATGATGTACACACTTTTTAGATTTGGTTACTAATGTTGAAAACTGCTGAATGCTATTGGATACTATAGTTGATTTTTAAGTTTACCATGTGTGTGTATATGTACATTAAACTCTCCTTATTTATGCTTCAGTTTCACATTTCCTCGTACTTTCCAGGCAACCATTGTTCAGATATGGAGCTTTCAATCTTCCCAGAGGAAAAGCATGTTTGGAAAAGTGGAATCAAATACCAACTGATGTGGATGTTCTTGTCACTCATTCTCCACCTGTTGGTCATGGTGATTTTTGTCTAATAGGTGTGCATGCTGGCTGTGTAGAACTTCTAAACACTGTGCAAAATCGTGTGAAACCCAAATATCATGTTTTTGGCCACATTCATGAAGGTACAGTAATTAAATGTACATGTTGAATGCATAACATATTCATTTGTGTACCAAAAGATAATCTTCTATAGAAATTTGTGACATAAACTTTCTCTGTATTTTTCTTGGAATACACAGAAAAGCACCACCATTTTACAGTCACCTAAGACATGTTGAATTACACAAGAAGAAGAATTCTCAGAGTTTGTATATATATGTATTGTAAACATAGTAATGTGAAAATTACTTGTGTAATGGATACCTGTAAAATTCAACATTACTTTTTTGTTTGCCCTTGTGTGTGAAAATTGGGGCTGTTTAATATAGGAGTACATAACACACCTACATACACTTGACTTCATGCATATTTTGACAGTTTAATGACATCATTTTCTAGAGATTTAGTACGATGTTTAGCTTGTCATGTTCACAGAATTACTAATCAATAAGTTTTCCCAATAACAACTGTAGAAGGAAACAATTTTCCAAATTAATAATTTTCAAAGATATGAAGTTTAGTATTAAGAAAATGGTGAAATACATTTATTCTTACTAACTTAAAGTTGAAACTCTGTCACTTTGACCTATACAGTTGTTCATCAATTTGATAAAAGAGAAATTGAATATTATTTTGATTTTAAGCATTTAAGAAGATTTAAAAAATTGTGTTATAGAATTAAAGGTAGAATTATTATTTTTATCAGGCTTGTATGTCTTATAAATTTTGTTGTCAATATGTGAGAGTGAGCATTGAATGAATCAGTTTTACGAGAAGAAGGTTAAGGCAGCATGTTAAAGAATAGAATAATTCTAGGTCCATAGACTGTTCAAGTATAGTTCAATATTATATAATGTGGTGTCTCATTTCATGTTCAAGATCATAATGAATGAGGAGAGTGAGTTGATGCTACAAATAAAAGGTTGTTTTAATTTTATAACAAAAGAAAAAAGAAACACTGTTTAGTAATGACAACAAAAGAACTGCAGATATTTTATTAGTTATATAGATAGTATAATGTGAAACACATCAACCTGAGTTAGAACTTATGTTTGACAAGTCAAATATTTTGTTTCAGAAACCACTGACTTTTATTTTCATGACTCAGTGTAACATAGGATGTACTTTAGAGTTTGAAATTGTAACTTACCAAATTTTTTAATTAGATTAACTTTATATTATTTTCAATGGGAGAAAGTAAAATGTGTTTTGTACAGTATATAAACAAATCAATTTAAGTCATAAAAATACACAGCCTATAACTTTTGTGGATTGTTTGTTTAATTAGGCTGTGAGCAACTGATATTTTCATATCATGATAAGTTTTTGAATCCTAACTTTTGTGTAGAACATACTTTTTTATTAGTATTAAGTTATTCATTAGGTCCTCAATTTTCATACATTCATAAATGGTAAAAGAATATAATGTTTACATCTGTTTACATATTCAGTTAATCTTGTAAATATTATTTAAAAGCATTTATTGCACCATCTTTTGAAAGGTACTAAAGTTGTTTTTTTTCTTCTCAAAAACTACACTAAACAATAAAATTTGTAACAATTGATAAAAAAAAGTGTAAAAGATAGGAATTGCATTTAACTGTCAAAAGGATCACATTTTATTTCAAAAGAATAACAAATTAAGTAATACCATTTAAGGTTACCAGACAACTCCATGAAAGGTACTGTAATATTTTCTTCTGTATAAACTTTAACTCATAAATGAATTAATTATATAATTATACAAACATACATATTTTGATTAGGTAGTAAAATTGTTTAAAAAACTGAATTAATTATTTCAACACATATATTTCCTCCAAAATAAATAAAACTATATTTCACAAAAACATTTTACTATTGATACATATGTTAATTGTATACATCAATAATTTTAAAAAGTAATGAAGTACCTATGGGTTTGGTGCTGTTGGAGAGTACCAAAGAACTACTCCTGCACCTGAAATTGGAACTGAGTCCCAACACTTCAAAAACTAAAAATATATTTATAGGAAATAAATTATTATTCAGTTTACATCCAAACTAATTATCTTTCAAAATGAAACACTCAGATTGTTAGAGAACATCCTGGCTCTTTGTGGTCTCCTGTGTCCACTTGTAAAGCTCTCTCAGACCACCCAGAAACACATGGTCACTCACCCTTTTAGAAGTTGGCACTATGTGACTGCTCTGGCTCAAGAGCAGGTGTAAGAGCATTAAAATGGTGATTTTTTAAAAATATGTCACATGGTTATTAAGACTCATGAAGACAAGTTTTAAAAATGTGTAAATTCAAACACAAAGTTGGATTGTTTTTTATGTTATTCATTATGGCAGGACAAAAGGTGTGAAAAGCATTATAATAGTCACAGCTGCTAGTATTGTAGTGTAGTTATAAATATAGTAAATTAATAAGATATGTGTTTTTAAAATATCTTTTCATCTTAGTAATTTTTATATTGTATCCCTTTGTTTTTTCCTTGCTGCTTAATTTAAAGAAAATTGACCTGTGTGTTTTCAATTTAGTACAAGTGTGAGTAGTCTCAAATAATAGTGCTAATCATATTTTTGTTATTAATAATGGACTTGCAAAAATGCAAATTACATTTTGAATGTGAGATCTTTACCTTGATGGTGATGTCGCACATCTGACAAATTTTAGCAGGGTTTCTGCACTAAAACTTTAGCACTGCACCACTGCATATTATTGTTTACACATGAACTTTTAACTAAAATTAGTTTAGCTGCAGCCAGTCTTCTTTTTGTAATTTTGTTTTTCTTTACTGTGGGCCTATTTTTTATTGTTTACAAACTACAAGGGAGAAGTTGTACAAATGGAAGGATTTTTTATAAGCTTATGCCTTATAATTGAATTGTATAAAATTTGAAACAATTTTAGTTTTCTTTTATATATTCCCTTTATCTGTTTTTCAGGATATGGCATCACAACAGATGATAAAACAGTCTTTGTCAACTGCTCAACATGCAACTCCAGTTATATACCCATCAATCCACCCATTATATTTGATATTTCACTACCTCCAGGCCACAGTAAAATTTGAAACTTTTGGCAAATATTGTTCAACTATCATGAAATATTAAAATATTTGAGTTTTATTTGAAACTTTTACCAAATATAGTTCCACTGTAAACAAATATCAAATTATTTATGAAAGTTATACTTTTATTTAAATTATTCAATTATTATACAAATTATTTGTAGCCAACAAATGTTGTGAAAGTTGAAATTTAGAGCCATTTTAAAAATAAAATAAAACAGTTTTGATTTAATGCATAGAATTAACATGCACATATTATATCACATTAATATCTTAGGAAAACTTTGTTAGATAGTAAATAGAATGTTTTATTGAAAATAAGAGAAAGCTAGAATGTGAAACTGAAATTTTTAGGCTATATACTAATAGCAACATCAAGTTTAAGTGCAATTAATAGATAGATTTCATTATGTCAGAGGTCAAATGCATTAACATGAACATGAGTTTTAATTAATCACAGGTATTCCACTGAAACTATAAAATATATTAAAAGTTTGAAATTGATCCAAATTTTTGGTGAATATTACATATAAAAACACATTTTATAACCAACATGAACCATATATGTATGTATTTCTATTTCATAAAAATGTGTGAAAAATAGGACTTCACTGTACAGGTTAATCAAAACCAATAAGAAAAACCAAATGAATTGATAATTATTCTTTGGAAAACTTAAGAAATCAATTTTAGTCCCAATAATATTGGGATTGTATGAGTGGTTTAGGCTGGAAAATTAGTTCTTTGCCAAAGAAATTTGGCAAAAAGAAATTATAAAAATCTGTATTTTTAAATCATTGATCCTATAAAAACCTATATTTTTAAGCTATATTCTAAGAAATTTATAAACATCAGCATAATGTTTTAATGATATGTTTTCCACATGTACAAAAATTTCAAATTCTGGGTGGAAACACAAGTGTCACTGTCTCAGAATATCTCACAGTTACTTAAGGATGAAAAGATAAAGCTACAATCAAATGTTTTTACCTCAGTATATATATAGAGTGGTGTACCTGTATATCTATTAAACTTACATGTAACATTTTAATTAGTGACTTATTATTTATTTATTTTTCAAGAATTTATTATTTATTAAGAATTGATCAACAGAGTGTCTATTATTAAATGTTTTAAAACATGATGGGACTTTTATATGTTATCAAGCAGATTAATAGTTCTTCCCAAATGCATTGTTTTTCCTCTCTCTCTCTCTCTCTGAACCTTGTGACAAGGTTATGTGTTTTGTCATTAACTTAGGAATTCTTAATCTGTCTTGTTCACAACATTTTTGTTATCATAGTTCTCAATCAAATAGATGGTGTCAGAACCCTCAGTGACATGATGTATGAAATGAAAGAAACTTTACTCACAAGCACTTTGGTTTAGAAAGGAAAGAAATTTATAGTAAAAACCGCATAGTCGATAAAGATATTGAAATTCAAAATAGGTTGAATAATTGCCAAACTATTGTTATATTTTTATTTAAAGAAGGATGATGTTTTAAGCTAGTGCTCTTTCTCAGATAAGCTGTACGATCTGATGAAAAGTGCTAGCTCAAAATGTCATCCTTCTTTAAATAAAAATATTACAAAAACTTGCCAATTGTTCAACCTATTCTTTAATTTAGAAAGGAAAGAAACTTTACTCACAAGCACTTTGGTTTAGAAAGGAAAGAGACCTTATCCACAAGTACTTTGATTTAGGAAGGAAAGAGACCTTATCCACAAGTACTTTGGTTTAAGAAGGAAAGAGACCTTATCCACAAGTACTTTGGTTTAGGAAGAAAAGAGACCTTATCCACAAGTACTTTGGTTTAGGAAGGAAAGAGACCTTATCCACAAGTACTTTGGTTTAGGAAGGAAAGAAACCTTATCCACTAGTACTTTGGTTTAGGAAGGAAAGAAACCTTATCCACTAGTACTTTGGTTGAATCAGTTAAACATAGCTACACATTGAAAATTAAATCATCATTGTCCATAATGACTTAGTTAAAAACACTATAATTTCTCCAATATTTT